GAACATTTTTTGATTGTTCCAAATAAAATTTGCATTCGTTCCCTTTCATTGCTCATTGCCTTTTTGAAAAAATAGCTGATTGCTTTTTAAACCTCAGAAGAATGGCTGGTTTCTAAAAAGGTTTGACTAGCTCAAGGGGGTACCTTGCAATTCGACCTTAATCAATTGCCAAACTGTGGTCAAATTGTGAATCAGTCAAATTGCTAGACACTTGATGAAATTCACGATCATAGGTACAAAAATGCGAAAAAAGTGGCCAAAGCCGGTCAAATTGCTGGGCAATGGTCAAATTGCATGTCAACCTCCCTGAAAATTCAACCGTTGAATTGCGGGATGGTCAAATTGCAAGGTACCACCTGTATTTGCCTGACAATCCTCCATAAAAACAAACAATTGCTGACCAGAAGATAATAAAAAAGTAAATGAATGAGCAATTAGAAACAAATACATGTATACACGTGAACCTCAATAACTTGAACCTCCCTAAGTCAAATACCCCCCTAAGTTGAATTTTTTCAGATCCCCTCTGAATCCCCTTAAAAACAATACATAAAAACCTCCCTAAGTTGAAGGCTTTTCCCCCAAACAAATTTTCTTTGGCCTGTGCATTGGCCATTTTTTTCTTTAAAAAATAAAGAAAAAGCAATAAAAGCAGAAAATTATGTGTTTTAAAGGAAGTGAAAGACTTGATTGGGAAAATAAACCCCTGCCTCCAAGTTCAGCAGCCTTTCAATTCATTTAAGAAGCCATTTAAGCTTTAGAATATCTCCATTTAAATTTTTTCCAGAAAACAGAGCTTTGTATTGCAGTTCCAACCTGCAAAATTCCTGACCTCCCTAAGTAAAAATTTCCCTAAGTCGAATTTTTTTGCAGGTCTCTTGAAATTTGACTTAATTGGAGAGTTTTGGTTGACTGTACTGTGCTAGGGAACTTACTCTGGGTCTTGCAACATCCGACGCACGGACGGCGGATAAACGTCGTAATGAGCCCACAAAGTGACGATAGGGACTTTATTGTCCCCGCTGTCGTGCAGCATGAATTTCGCCGGCATCCCAGATCCGTTTCGGTCGCTTCCGAATGCCTCGATAACGTCAGCGACGTACGGCTCAATTTGCACCCCTGCGGAACACCCACTTGCTTCCCACAGTTCCGGGAACCTGAGACTCACGGGGAACAAGTTCCGACACGGCACCGGGTTGTGACTGCACATGATGACAGTTGGGAATTCGGCGCCGTCGGTTCGCGTCGTCACGTCGACCACTGTCAGCACGGGGTATCGCCAATAATCGGCGGCGATCATGGATAGTTGGTAGGTGGTCATGCAAACGAAGGCTACTGTGACGGTAGCCCAGAATAAAGTGCGAGCTCGCGATCCGGATGCTGTGGCGCGTCCGCAGTGTGCCAAACCGTTGACGGAACAGCGTGCCAATTTTTGCTCGTCGTCTCTTGAGCTTATGATGTTCATGACCGCCAACTTTGTACGTTTTATTCCAAGGGCTTTCGATCCACTTGTACCTGCTTGTACACGCAATGTTTTCCTGCCAGGAAAAGAGGGACTTACGTCTTTAAATGGAAATGTCATGAATTGGCACAAAAATGGGTTCAATAAAACCACCAAATTCATATCTTCCAATCTAAACGCTTTATATATTCCAATCTAAACAGGAAAAAATGACATCCATCTTTTCAAGAATAAGCCATGAATTGACAAAAAAAGGGTTTTAGTGAGTGCATGAGAATTTAAATCCTAGTTAGATGAAATTTGAAGCATCAAATGAAGAAGACAAGGCAAACGCTTCGAAAAATTACTGGAGTAGACCAACTGAACCCTTGGTATGAGTATTAGATTCATAAATGGGAAGCATAATTTTCTACACAGGAGTCACGAAGTTAGTAGAAATTGAGTTTCATTTTCAATCATTGGAAATTTCGTAATACTTCGTACGCAGGATAGAAGCACACAGCCATAAGATTGCCATTTTCATCAGACAGGGATGCAATCTTGAAAGATTTTGAAAATGTTCTACCAGTGCGGTGATGGAATTTTTTGAAGGGGGTACCATGGTATTAAATGCAGGTACCTGTCACGCGGCACTCACGATTTTCCTGGAATTATTATATAGGTGGGTTTCTCGCGAGTCGTAAACTGATGGGACACAAAAAAGAGGTGACATAGATGCAAGAAAAATGAAATACAGTATTAATGGAGTAGAACGAAAAAAAACGCAACAAAAAGTTAAATTAAAGATGATGGAGCCTTAAGACTCAACAATCAAATACGTATATATAAATGATAAAATCTCGTATTAGCATGAGAATTTGAGAATCAGTATTCATTTGATCCCATTTCACTGTAAATACTTTGCATCAAGGAAGGGATCAAAACAAACTGCGCAAGAGTCAGGAAAGCCAAAAATAATTTAAAGTAATCCCGTTTTCTTGTCAACAGGAGGACATTTAATATTTCCGAAAATTCTACTTATTCAGGACGTCAATTTTGCTCTATATAAAATGAAGGGTTATAAGGAAAACAAACGAACTTCACACAACAGAGTTACTTGAACCTTTTCACCCGTCGGTGATGCTTTCAGGGAGAATGACCCCCACTGCACCTTTTTTTTTGTCACGATGAATACATTTACACAACTTTAGAAACAAAGTTTTCAAAAAATAGCAGATGTGTGACGTGCATTTGGCAACAGCGTCATGAGTGTCAACCCGTGATCGCATCCGAGCAAAACAGTGTGATGTACGTATTCTAAGAATGTACTGCATTATGTCCCATCCTAATGCTTTTTTTGTGCATATAATAGCTTTATTATTTTTTAACTCGTCAGCAATCAGACTTCAATCGGGGTTTTTGACATCAGAGAAGACTCTGGAAAAAATATTAATTTTGCAACGTAAGTTGTAACGCAGAAAAACCATCCTTTTTCGGGTCAGCTTACTATTTTCAAGAACCTTGAGAAACCAGAGTTCGCTCAAAACTTTTCTCAGAAGGCTTGCCTTCCGATTCGTTAAAAAAAACTTTGCTTGAACTGGCACAACTTATTTGAGCGACTATGGGACGTTTATGCTCTATTTTTTAAAAATCAAATTCTGTATGCAGTAGTTCGTTGGCTTTATTGAAGAAACTTTGAGAGAGGTCGTGGATACTTTTTTTTATGGATTTTCGGTAAGTGAATTATAATAGAGACAATCTTTCATTCGTTTCGTTTTCGTTTGCACATCATTTTCTTGAATGAATGAACAGAACACTTTATTTGCCGCTTTTCAGCGTTCACAAGGTTCAATCAAGATTTTATTTTAATAAAATAAATTATTTTAATTTTCTTTCGTTCAGCGCATCAGTCGTGAATATTTTGCAGCTGTCGGATAATAATTCGAAGACGGCTGAAATCACATGGAATTATCAGTAGTGGTGGAAAATTAATTTCGCATTTTAAAAGGCTTCAACTAGCCGGTGTTTGTTCTTTAAAAATATCTACTCTACTGTATCTTGATTGAATGATTTTGCGGGTGGAAAAAATTATTGGAGCACGAAGTTGTTGCCGGAAGACCTTTCTGCAATAAGGAATGCGCACGAGCTCCCAACACATCCGGGTCTGTTTATCTCAGGGCAACATATTGCTCCCTATTGTAGGGATCAGCTGGTCATTTAATGGATACGGAGAGGGGGGAAAAAAGCAACCAGAGACGTGAGAATGGAAAGGAAGAAAACGAAACCAGCTGTCTGCAAAGGAAAATTCCTCGCTATACTGACTTGAGGGTTGAAGACCGCTGCGAGCTTAATTCATTTTCTGCGGCTCCTCGTGAACCCGATGGCGCATGTCGCCGCCGCCTTTCCTGCACATTTATTCGCACGCATTTATTCTTCTTCGGGGGTTCGTATAAAAGGTCTCTAATTCTCAATCGAGCGTCCTATAATCCCATGCAACTGAAGCACAAATGCCTCCAGATTTTTTACGAAGAGACTGAAAAATGAGCAACTGATGGAAGGTGAAATCATGAAAAAAAAAATTTAACGGGCTGATGAAGTTCCCGTGCTTTAATCCCGATCAAATCTTGAGCAGAAAAGGGGCTGCTGTTGGATAAATTTCAGGATTTATAAAAAACGTTTACAAAATTAATCTCATTAAAATAAAATTCCAATAACGTAATCAAACACATTGGGAGATGCAATTAGCCAAAACTTGTCTTTTAAAAAACCAAGTCCTGAATTGAAGCGAGCCTCATGTTGAAAACAATTTTAATCGTAACACTTCTGCTGTGAAAAAATAGTCGTCTCATACATGTTCATCGCGATATTTTTTTTACAATTTTATAGCTTTTTTTAATCTCAAATACTTGCTTTTAAAACTTTCAATGTGTCAGAAACCCCAGGATGGGTCTCAGAAAATTAATCTCATAACAATTTCATTGGATATAAGACGTCTCGTAAAAAAAAAAAAAAACTCGTGCTCGAAGCCTGTCGCAAGTATTTGTTATGAAATCTGAAGAAAATCTGGAGACATGAGGAAACAAACGGCAAATCAAATATTCAATGATTCATCCCCAAAAATGAAGTATTGATCAACTTATATGAAGGAGTCAGTAAATCCGAGTTCAGCTAGAAAATCGGAGAATTTAAAGTTTTGATCATCCTTAACTTTTCGAAACTCGCCCTAATGATGAGTCGAAGTTTTTGAAATGTGACGAAACTCTTCCTACTTATTCCCAGTAACTCTATATATACCAGAAATTTCGATGAATATCGTGTTCGTTGTTGCTCTTGTCTTTGTGTATAGGTCAAAGGATGAAAACAATCTTATGCTACCACGAAATTCATGTGCTCGTCAGCAGTCGAAATTTATTCGTCTGGAACGTCAGTGTAGTTTCTCCTCGATTCATCAAGGACGTCTGATGTATGCAGAGCTGCTCATTCTGATGGAGCTCGGATTTAAGCTGACGATGAACAAATCCATGGAGGGAATGTCTGATATTGCGAAAGCCCGTGGTGAAAACCTTAATTCTTAGGATCGTTTTGCATCTCTCGAGTCTCGACTGATGAGCAAAATTTAAATAGNCACTAACAAAACACTTGTTACATGCAAGAAAGGAGGATCCATTAGTTTTTGTCCCAAGACGAACTGGTTCTGGGCATCCAGTCCTTTTGCTTGGCTATAGTGCGACCCATTCGCCGGGTTGCACCGTCTTCTCGGCGCTCTTTGTTCGTCGTAGCTGTGGCTTTAGGTTTGTTTGGGTCAATGTACATTTGATTATCAAGGAAAGAGTCGAGGTTGAATTGTTCTTTTTCCCCTTCCCACACTTCATTGTCGCGAATGGACGTCATTGCCGGGGTGGTAAACGCATTGTCGGCCTCGTCCACGGCATTTTGCTTTTGACGTCTGAAAAATTAAAATTGTGTACGGTATATGCTTGAAAAGAAAAAAAGCCCATATCTAAGGGGATAAATGATACAGGTAGACACTTTACAACGATTTTCTCTGCGTAACGATTTTTTGTTGTCCCGTTTAAAGGGGTTATCATCTGTTATAGGGGTCATTTATTAACAACGGAATTGTCGACAACGAATTTTTTGGTTACTTTAATTTCGTTACAGAGATATTCCACCGGTAGTTTTTTTTTAAATAAGTCAGTCTTATGCTTGCTTTTTCGTGGCTTTGATAGATGAATGGATATTAATAACCATAATTCTTACGGAGTAGCATTTGATAATTTATTCTTTTTACCGAAGTTCCAAATTTTCGAACCTGGTTTGAACTGGGGATGAAACCACGTGTATGCGATCACTGCGAGAAAATAAAGCCTTCAACACAAACTGAGTCCCTGAATTCGGAATTACATTCTTTAAATTGCTACTATGATGGTATGCGATGCTTCAAGAATCCTATCAACGACAATTAAATAACCGAATCCTACAATTATCTTCTGAAGAAGAATTTTGGATATTGAACATTCTTATTCTGTAATGCTTCAATTGAGGATTATGTCAATCGGAACCTTCGAGGATTGTTGTTGAAACAAACCCCGCAAAAGAAGAAGCTTACTTCAAACTTTTTTCTGCAGTTTGCATGATGATGCTCAAGAAACTGAACTAATCAATTCAATTAGCTTCAAGACGGGCACACGACTTAATCATTTTTATGAGATGAACGCATCTCACGCAAATGTTTTTTTTTTTATAATCGTTGGAATAAAATCTAAGCGCCTCAGTCGATCCATGGATGCTTTTTGGGAGAACAATTTACATGTACACACTCCAACGAATATCCCCGATTAATATTTAATGGCAATAAATCCAAACGCTTTCAAGCAGATTTATTTTCATAGAATACATTTCCTTACATGGCCTGCTTCGGAGCTTAGAGAAATAAAGCAGACCGCCAGCTGAAGGGGATGATGAACAGCTTATAAATCAGTGGGATGACTTCGTCGGAAAAGTATTAATGTATTTATAAATATCTCGATTAATTCGATACGGAGTTTATAGGTCTTATTGCAGTTTTGTTACTCACAAGTCAATTTTAATGCCATACCTCATGTCCTGCCGGTTTCGACGATCGGCGGCAGTTTCTTCAATTTGTTGTGATGAGCTGGATTTTGAAGACAACCTGAGATTTTCAGTTTTTCGGTCGAAAATATCATCGGCGTCCCTGCCCGCTTTTTCCAGAATTTTATCCTGGAATGTGGTAAAAATGGCACGTTTTTGAATTTTGGCGAAGGAGTTTCTTCGACTGAAGTTTCTCGCACTTTTCCTTTCACATAGACATTTGTTATACATCTCTCGCATTCGACATCAATTGCACAAATAATTTATGTGCCAGATAAATTGCATCATTGGAACACAACCACCACTATTCATCAGATTTGAATTTCCATGTACTCTACTATTTACGATTCTTTTAAAGCATTTCAAATCCCTTGCGTCCATATGGGACTGTCGGGAGACATAAAACATGCGAAATTGTCAAGTAAAGCTAATTTTTCCCCCGAGAATGTGCAGCATTTTTATTTTCTGCATTATTTAGTCAATATCAACGCGGGGGGGGGGTGGTTATTCAGAACAATGATCAAATTATGAAATATTTGTATCTCGACCTTTAAATATAAATAGCCATCTAAAAATTAGATGACGTGTAAAAAACTGGCAAAAATTATTGTCTATTCCTTGTATGTTTCCGTCTTTGCATAACTTGGGACATATCTCACTCACCTTTTGGCGTCTCGGCGAGTTTTCGGCCTTTTGGAAAGTTTCGCGGAAATTCAAAGGTTTTTCGAACATTCTCGAGGTTTTATCTCCGGAACGACCTTCGGGAAGCGAAAACGCGGAACTTGATTCTTCTTGCACAGGTACAGACCTTGCTGATGCTCCCGGTTCCTTCAGGGTTGCCAACCTTGGGTCGTCTACGGCTGGTTTTGGGATATTGGCTTGGGTTTTCTTCGTGGAAGAAATTGGCGTAATTTCCTCTGCTGATGTGCTGATCGGTTGCGGTCGTTTCCGGGGAGATAACTTTTCGAACAGTTTTGTCAAGGACCCCCGAAGCCCAAGACGTCTGGTACTTTTGTTTTGGCAATCAGGGTCTAGATGAATTTCCCCGGGATCCGCCTTCGTGTGCCATTTTTTGAAAAATTATATTAAAAATTGCCTTTTAATTATTTAAAAAATTAAAATTTTGAAAATAATTTTTCCATCCTATTAATTTGTCGTATGAGAAGTGCAACCTTTGATCTCGGGATGGACTTCGATCAAAAAGGTGTCAAAAATCTAGCTTTATTTGCCAACCTATCAGAAAAGTCCAAGTCATTATTTAAAAATATTCCAAACAGTCTTGACATTTGTTCATGCTTCAATCAGCCAAATTAGAAGGATTTTTCAAGTTCTCGGTGCAATTTGAAGTTCTTCAAAAGTATTGGAAGTGAAGTACGTGACCCTCACACATCTTCAGCATATACAGACCGAAAAACAATTATGGAAAATAATCTATCGCTGAGTAAATAACTCTTGAAGTTGAGTCTGAAAATGTATACATCAGCCAATTATTAGCAATAACTATGAAGTTGTGGTCAGGATTTTTATGAATGCTAATTGTTAGCATTAGAGCAAAGAGCCGATGCAGTATGTATGACTCCTCGGACATTATTCAAATAATGTCCACGTTTTCTTAATTAGCTTGCTGTGAAGTTACTCCGAAGGAAATTGGTTTTCGTTTTCAACAGCATCAGCTTACCTGGAAACTAAAGTGTAATAAATACTAACCTTCTATTTCGAGAAGATCTTCAATTTTTAAAGCTTTTACTGATGAGAAAGCCCGCATACGAGTAAATGTCGAAAAATAAGCACATTTTAATTAAGAAATATTAATTCCATCATAGCTTGCCTTTAATCGTTCCATATTCTCTTTATCTTCATCCATCCTTTCAGAGCTCACAAATTAGAAAAAAATTTGTTGTTGAAAAAATTGTTGATCAACAATGCCTGTATCTGTCTCAAATTTGGTAGATGAACCAATGTTTGTTAATGTAAGACTATTAAAAAATCTCTATTAACGTTATTTCGACGTGCCAACTAACTTTGCGTGGCTTTGAAAAGGGCCCACAAACTTCGCACTCCATAGAATACAGGTTTCTGTTCGGTGGTACGTTTTCTGGTGGTGGAGCAGGTGGAGGCAATTGTTGAACTGGGATCAGTTTCTCGACTTCTTCAGCAAGAGCAACGACTGGAGCTGAAAGCCTCATTGTTCCATCGGATTCTGTGATTATTTTTCAATGACGTGAGCATTGAAAAAAATTATTATTTTATTGGTGAACTGAACGATTTCTAAACAATTCTACGACACGTTTCCCCGCCAGTGTTGCCAGCAACGCGGAATTCATGCAATTCTTTGGAGAAAATTTCCGCTCAATAAATGTTGAACCTTCAATTTTTTGTGGAAAATTTTTTTTGCGTCCTGTTTCCGTATTCATGAACTGTTTCAAAGTTAAAAGTAAAGTTTACTTGGAATTCCGCGGAATATTTTATTGCATTAAATTGTGAAAGCAGCTGCTCAAATTTTTGTCCATCGCGTTTTGACCAAAAAGTTGCTTTCAGCGGAAACATCAGCGAACATAACGGAGTTTGACTGAAATATCATGGAAAATTTACCAAATGTGTTTGTGTATGATGAGAGCCATTCTTAAAAACAGTTAAACCTCTGTAAGTAGAATTTCTAGGTGCCATGAAAAAAATTCCACTTAGAGAGGTTTTGATTTTTGGAGGTTTCCAGTTGAGGAAACAAACACTTTTGTTGTGAGGAGAAGTGAAAAAATTGTGGGAAATCATAAATGAGGATATTCTGGGCCTAAACTTGCTCCTTAATGAATTTACACCTTGCTGAACTTGG